AGGGCCTGGTTCTCCTCCTCCACCTCACGCACCCGCGCCTCCAGGCCCTCTCGCTCCCGGGGGCTGGAGGCCGGGGACCGAGGACTGTGGGCCTGGGACTCCAGCGGGGACAGGGACACGGGCTTCCCATCTGCGGAGAGAGGAGGGCAGAGTTAGCCGGGACCACAAGGGCCTGTGCTCCGATTCCAGGGTGGGCGGTCTTCACAGCAAAGCATCCTGACCAGGAAGGGGCTCCGAGAACAGACTGGAGGGCCGTCTGACCCAGCTCTTCCCAAAGGGATTTAAAGAATCAGCCACCGCGATGCATGTACACCTGTGTTCATAGCTGTACAGTTTGTCCTGGCTAAAGCTTGGAATCAGCCCCAGTGCCCATCGACTGGAGACTGGTAAAGAAGATGTGTTTCTAAAAAATTAAAATGGAGTACTGCTCAGCCACGAAGAATGAGAAATTAGAGACATTTACAGCTAAACGGATGCACATTGAGGTGATGGTCTTAAGTGAAATAAACAGGACAGATGAGTAAACACCAAATAGTTTCTCTGATGTGAGACACTGAAAGTGTAAATAAGTACTAAAAGGTAGTACTTTTAGTAATGTGATGATGTGAAACTGGAAGAAAATGTCAAAAGGGGAAAGGGAAGTGGGAGGGGTAAAGAAAGATGGAAACTGAATTAATATAAGAAAAGGAAAAAAATGGAAACAAAGTCTCTGTAAAAATAGAGAGGAGTGGAGGGGTTGAAGGGAGGGCAGGGGAATGGGGAGAAAAATAACCAAGATGCGTCGTGTAAAGGTACAAGATCCCAGTGATGAATGTCATTACACTGCATACCTAAAAGGTACCTATACAAGTAATTTTAAAAATAGGAAGGGAGGGAAGAGGAGCCTAAGGAGAAGGAAGGACTTGAATAAGAGAAAAAGAGGGAGAGGAGCAAGAGAAGGAAACACAGTGACGACCGACTCCACTGAGCAGTCCACATGTGAATGCTATGCATCCTGCAAAACCCGATTTTAAAGGCAACATCTCTCAAAGGAAGCCATCCTCCACTTGCAGGGAAAAGATCCTTCACAATACCCCAACAGGCGTGTGTACCCAGTGCTCAGCAGCGCATACGCAGCACTGAGGAAATCGTCTCTGCTGTCCTGAGACGGCAAAGTGATTCAGCCAAATGCTCCCATGGGGCTGGGAGTCCGGTGAAGGCACAGCCGGGCCCCATGTCTGCGGCCAAGCACGGAGCCTGATCATGCGGGAGGGGTTGCTGGCACCTGTGCCACGAGCACAGCGACTGCAGGCAAGCGGGAGAGGGAGAGGGAGAGAGAGGGAGAGAGAGGGAGAGAGAGGGAG